AGATGGCAAGGGTAATTACTGCAGATTTCCGAGGGTTCGGCTCCTGATGTGTTTACCATCTGCAGTTTGCTCCATCGACCAAGAAAACAATCTGATCCAGGGCTCGATCTTGTGAAGCAGCTGCAAGATTAGTAATTGTATGTAAATCTGGAAAATACTGGCAGTAGTCATCCGGAAACTGTATGCAGTGAATGCACTGGATTAAAAAAAAATAAGGAGGCACTACATAAGGTCAAGCTGGAGATACAGGTGACTCACAGGCTAATGGAGGTGCAATGAGCATTTATCCTAAGATGCACACAGACGGAAGAGAACATGCAGATGGAGGAGCATTTACCTGCTGAATGAATGATAAACACCATCTTTAGTTCTTTGGTTTTCTTCTAATTTGTGTCTGTTCTCTTCAATTTTTTTTTTTGCGGACAAATAAATGTTTTATCTGTGCAACCCTCAAACTGACTTTAGCACCCCGTATAATCCAATAAACTATAAAGTCAAAAGCAAATAGGAAAATCTCTAAATGTATGATTATTTAGGAAACCATTTTACTAGGAATATTACTCATATACATATTCTAGAGCTCTTTTTAAATGAAAAACTGTATAATTTAGTGATTTTATGTCATTGTTTGCATAACAATGGAGATGCTAATAGCACTATAATGTTGACCTTGTGTGGGTTGAGCTGCAGTGCAAAAAGCTGCCACAAGCAATCAGTTAATGGGCATTTTTCAGTAATAAACTGACTTGGGTTGAGATTATAGGCAGCCAGCTAAACAAAACAAAATACAGTCCTGAATACAGTCAGTTAATCTAATATCCAGCAGTTGTGATCAGGATGGTTAAGGTCAGGTTGTAGGAAAAGGTTATACACCAAGAAAATATCATCTTAATGTTCCTGACCTTTTTAGTGCACAGCGTTGTCAGTGGTGATAGCATATTTTATACTGAAGAGAAAAAGATTTAGTTTAGAGTCTGATAGTCTTCAATGCATTGGTAGCAGTGGTTGCAGCAGCATGAAGCTGTGGGTCTGCTATTTTTTAGCATATTTAATCAAGAATCATTACTGTCATGAAATCATAAAACTTGTAAAAAATTTGGATGTAAAAAAACAGATACAGATTAAAAATATAAAAAAATAAATAGATATCGGAAAGAAAAAAACTTGAAGCACTATTAGATGTTATAAAACACCCTTCGAAGAAAAATATGTACATAAAAATTTAGTATATGGAAAGATCTGGATTGGGCATTTGGTGGGGGGGGGGGTCTCTTTT